CCCTGGCTAACGTTTGGGGCGCCGACAGGTACGCTGCCGCGGGGGGCGACGAGTGGAAAACGAGACCACCACTAATGCCACTGCAGTGCATCCCCAAGGCCCCCTCCTCCTTCGGTTCGTCAGTGATTTTGTTAGCGGACAGATGGGGGAAACCTCTTACACGCCGTGACAATACTAGGTATGCTCGCCCCGACTTGCACGCCGAACAGGATGGGGAACATCGAGGTACACATGGCGTACTACTACTACTACTACTACTACTACTACTACTACTACTACTACTACTACTACTACTACTACTACTACTACAGAGAATTTTGATACACAATGTTGCGTCACAGGAATGAGTCAGGCACTACATTGCACGGTTCAACCAATGGCCGGCACGTCCAGGAGGAGAAGTGATCCTAGAAAGTGAGGGGCTCAGTTAGCAGCGTGGGCGCAGCAGGTCCTGGGTTGAATTTAATTGGGCCCCCCCGCAGCAAAGCTTGGCACGAAGGGGCCTCCTGCATCCCTTTCTCTTCTCCTCGAGGGTGGTCGCGTCGTCGTCCCCCCCCCTGCTTCGGAGCCCTGCTCGCCCAGCGCGTCCCCGTCGTCGGGGGCGCGCGGGAGCGCCAACAGCTGCTCCCCCACACTGACCCGTAGGGACCCGTTCTCACAGGGTAGCGTTCTTTTGTTTTTTTTCGAAAAAAACACTAAGGCCACCTAGGAGCTCGCCCCTTGAAACTTCGAGGCATGCCCCCTGCGTGCCCCCATGAGAGGTCTGGGTCTGCGGCGCAGTCTAATCGCAGGGGGTTTTGGTATGTAGTCGCACCCGCAACTCCGTTGTAGGTGTCGGCGTTGGCCCCCTTTATGCGGATGTCCTGTCCTGTCCTCCTCCCCCTCCTCCCCCTCCTCCTCCTCTTTCTCCTCTTCCTCCAACCCCTCCCGTTCCACCCGTTCCGGCAGCACGTGCCCGACCCCCCCACGGATTCGGGGAGGGGAGGCGTAATTGTCCCATCGAGAGTGCGCGTCTTTGTCCCAGGGGTGTCGTTCCCGAAACTTTTTGTGCAAGTTAGACGCGGGGGGTAGGGCGGTTCTTGGTTGCTCGCGTCTCTTCCGTGGAATCCCCCCCACGGCACAGCGTTGCTGGCGCTGTTGGAAATTAGCCAGGGAAAGGAAGCCAGAGGTCAGGTCCAAGCTCGTGCCTGCGTTGCGCACGTGTGTCTTTTGCTGGCCTTTTGGCCCAGGCACCGTTGGGTTCCCACCTTCCGTCTTGCTGGCCCTCCTCCTCCTCCTCCGCCTCCTCTTCCTCCGTCCTCCTCCCCCTCCCAGCCGCCGCGCTGACACGCAGGAGCGACGGTCGGCCAGGGGGGGAGAGCGCACGGCCTTCCGCTGCGCACCGCGCGGGCGCGCGCACTCGCGACGGTGCGGCCCGTGGGCCAATGGGCTCTGCGGGCATTGGGTTTCAGCCTGATGTTCACGACGGGCCCCAGGATGCAGGGGATGGTTCAGAGCAGCGCGAACGTGGATTTTAGTATTGGCGGCGGGCACCCAGCTGAGTCACAGGCGTGCAGAGGAAGTGCTTACGTCGAGTTCGCCGGCGGCTGGCACTGGAGGCCGAGGCGACGACTGTTCAGTTGTCTAACACGTCAACGGGCTGCGCAATCATCTCGGGACCGAAGTTCGGCGAGAAGCATGCGACACAGGTCTTGGCGAGCCCACGCGAGGTGGGAGGGCGTGCAGCAGAAGCTGGATTCAGACGAGGTCCTTTGGTCGTGGCGCCAATCATGATGTACCTCCCGCCATAGCCCCGTTATACGTCTGCACTCCTACACAGCAAAGTTACGGTGAACTTAACTGGGGAGCGGTCTGGGAATATCCTTCACAGTCTTCATGCCGTTGCATACCGATTGCGTGCGTGGGCTCGAACGACGGCCAGGGCATGTTGCGCATAGCGGGGAAGTGGACCAGTCTAGACACGACGGCGGTTGGGGAAGGCAGACGTAGAGAACAACGGTGGGGAAGGGCAGGATGAGCGTTGATAGACATATAAATCAACGCCAACAACTACTCGCGATGATTATGCAAAACGCAGCATTGGCACGCACATATATGGAACAAGAGGGGTGAGCTATTGTATTGAGTTTTTCAGTTGCCCCAGCACGCATTGTTGACATGGTGGCGAGCTGCCCCCCATGGTTTGGATTGGGTGACCTTCAAGGGGCCACCGCCACGTGACCATGTCATATTCTACGCTGAGCTGCAGGGTATGCAATCAATGGAGCGGGACACTCAGTCATATAGAAAGTTGCGCTGGAATCCGGATGGCATGACAACAAGGTGCTGACGAACAAGGTTATCGTCGATCTGAGTTCTTATCGACAATGGGAACCTCCCTGGGATAGAGCGAGGACACATGGTGAGCGACGTTGTCGTCTGGAGAACAGGCGAGACTTTCAGACATGTGGACGGGCAGCTCGTGCGGTTTGGGCAGCCGTTTTTCTGTCACTTGGTGTCCAGTGACCCATTGCACAGGCAGGAGGTTTCAGAGCGGACGGGACATCTTCGGGAACGAGTGCGACTGCGACGATCGTTCATAGGCAAGGAGTCACGGACTCAGAAGCTCGAGGCCTGCGAACACATAGTGGCGCAACTCAGTCAGCAGCTCCGCCGTCGACGGCAGCATTTCGCCCACATCGGTCAGCAGGCCCTGGTCGGGGAGATCGAACCGCAGGAAGGATTGCAGCCAACCGAGAATTTCGACGAGTGTCTCGAGTCAGTCCCAGCAGGCCCTGGCCCGCACGTTTCTGTGGATGACTGCTCACTGGCGGTGGAGGGCAAGGCAAGGGGGATCAACTATCTTCGTCCAGCCACGAAGCGTCGAGCAGTGCCGTCTAGCACGGCATCCGCTCACATGTGGATTCTGTGTCCCCGACCAGAGGCGAGACTGAGCACGGCGAGGCAGGGACTGGGTTGCAGATTCCAGAATCAAGAAACGCACTTGCCCGGGAGGATCTTGGAAAGGGGGCATTCGGCTCACGGGGGCCACGAGTCGTGCGCCGATGACCGGGCAGGCGTCCTATTCAGGCCTCATGTGTGCACCCCCGATGCGGTGGATCATGAGCTCTGCCAGGTTGTGAAGGCGAGAGGATGCGGTCTTAGTTGTTCTGCCCCTTTGCTCCCGAGTCAGACGGGTAGGCACCAGTGACGACGCCTTCGCGCGTGGGCCCTGGCAGGGATTAGCGAGCGCCATGGAGCTACGTGAAGCACCCGAAAGACTAGAGTCGTGCGCACAGCGTTTCAGGGATGGCGCGGTGTGGCTGGAGCCTCTGGAGGGAGAGGGTTACTTGAAGTCGGGCGAGGAAGGTGCGACTTGGACCCTTACAGTAGGCCGCTTTTCTCCTGCACCTGTTCATTGTCAGTGATGCAGTGGTTCTGGCGCCTCTGCGACGTCTACCCCTTGTCTGAGGAGTTGGTGGCACACAGGAAAAACCCAAGGTGGATTTTCAGCGTGACCATGTGCGCAGAAGACCTTTCTTAGAGCCCATGTAGCAGCACATTTTTCTTCGACGGGAAAGTTTCCACAGGTCCTGAAGGGGGCGGATGAGGCGACGGCGGAGGAGCTGCAGGAATTCAGTTTCGCTCAGAATGTCTCGCAACAGGAAATTCATACATGCGCCCAGGGGCCTGTGGCCATACAGCGTCGTTCGTCGGTGTGCGCGGGGAAATATCAAGGAAGCCCCAGGATGGCGTTCGGCAGATGGGGCCTCGAACTACTCTTCGTCCGTCCTGGCTTTGTAGAAGCTTGTCGTCTGATGCAGACGACTGCGGATGCTTATTATTCACTGGGCCAGGTCTAGAGTCGTCCAGTTCAGTTTCGCTGGACGCTGACGATGTTCTCGGTTTTTTGGTATACAATTCGGCGCTCACGGGGCTGGAGCCAATGATGCTGGCCAACCAAGGGGCTTCGAGCGTGGATTCATTTGCCTCGAGGCATGGCAGGAGAGTGCTGCAGGGGTTGCGGTGGTGAGGCAGGAGGAGAGCGGGGCCCGTACATTGTGTAATAAACGGGTCATGCAGCACCAGCGAATTATTCGTGAGAAGGTTGGGCTGGCACCTGAGCTGGGCGCGCCACCACGACCCTCACACGCAGGAGCGGTGCCTGCTCTTTGGCGCGGTGCCGCTTGACCTGCGTGGCCCTCCTCTCAGTGGCAGTCAAGCGTGATAGCCTGTGGCCGCCCCGGGGCTGAAGCGGCTACAGGAGGACTTGTCAGCTGGCCTCGGAACGCATGGACGAGGACGCGGCGTGCGCTCACATTACATGTTTCCTGGGAAAACTTGTCAGGAAGCATCTGTCCTGCAGGCTCGCCCGGAATTCACCGAAGTTCGATCTCGGGAGTTGCTGGTTACGATTTCACCCAGCCTCAGCTCTCACGACATGGAGGAAGAGGAGGAGGAGGCCGAGGGCTTAAAGGATGCAGAGTTCCCCTGGAGGTGCGGCTTGCAGGTGGAGGACGGGTCGTGCGAGATGGCGTTCCAAAGATAGCGGGGCGTCATGAGTCATATGCGTCGGATGCGCAAGGTGCCGAACCTGAGATCTACGATTCTGCCCACTAATGTATGCATCTGCCGTCGCGTGTGTGGGCTGCCCTGATACGCCTGTTTCGCAAAACAGCACGGACTGTGTTCAAACGTGAGTGCTAACACGCTACGTGTTGGCTCAGCACGTGTTGGGTCACGTGCTGGTGAACGTTTCGCGCCAGACCCATGTTTTCAGTCATCATTTTGATCTTCGTGTCCACTCGCCGCGGGTTGCATGTTGCGTATCGGGGCAGTCACGTCCGACACACTTTTCGATTCGATCCGACTTGCCGGCGGCGATGGCGGCGGCGACCTCCGGCAGGGGCGTGTTCGTCCTCGTCGTCCTCGTCCTCGTCCTTGTCGTCCTCGGCTTTGACCTCGTCGTCCTCGTCCTCGTCGTCGTCGTCGGCGGCGGCGCCGCTGCCGACCTCCTGCAGGACCGGCTGCTCCCCTGGCCAGCGCCAGGCCTCCCCGCCGGCGCGTGGCGGCTGCTCGCCCGGGCCGAGCGGGTCTGCGCCGGCGCGGCGGGGTGCTTGGGCGGCGGAGTTGCCGCGGAGGGGGGGGGGAAAGGTCAGGGGGGAGATCTTCCAGAGAGGAGGAGGAGGAGGAGGAGGAGGAGGAGGAGGAGGAGGAGGAGGAGAGGGGAGGAGGAGGCGGAGGAGGAGGAGGAGGAGGAGGAGGAGAGGAGGAGGGGGAGGAGGAGGAATGGGGAGGAGGAGGAGCAGGAGGAGGAGGGGAAGGAGGAGAGGGAGGAGGAGGAGGAGGAGGAGGGGAAGCTGGAGGGGGAGGAGGGGGAGGAGGAGGGAGGGAGGGCGGGAGGGAGGAGGAGAGGAAGGGGGGAAGGAGGAGGAGGAGGAGGAGGACAGGCTAGGTTCGCTCGTGTCATATCTGACGTCTATCCCTCCCTCCCATCCCTTACCATGGCGCAGATCTCCTCTCTGCAATGATCCCGAAAGGGTACGCGACGCATTGTAGAGCACGGCATGGCATGGCGTAGAAGAGCACCGCAAAGCGTAGCATCAACCTAGCATTGCATTGCACGTCGTGGCATGGCACGGGAAATGACGCCAGCGCTGCAGCGGGAGCACGAGTCGAAACGAGCGGAAGCGCGGAAATGAGGCCAACGCTGCAGCGGGAGCACGATTCCGAACGAGCGGAAGCACGGAAATGAGGCCAGCGCTGCAGCGGGAGCACGATTCGGAACGAGCGGGGCCCGAAAATGAGGCCGGCGCCTCAGCGAGAGCAGCATTTTGGAAAAATGCATCCGAAAACCCAACTCCGGGGAAACCTGTGTGTAAAAAACAGTACGCGGGGGGGGGGGGCGGTCACTCCCAGGCCGTCATCAGGGGAAGAGGGAAAGTAGTATTCATATTGAGTAATTGTGGAAGGGGAAGGGGAGGAGCAGGAGGAGGAGGGGAGGGAGGAGAGGGAGAAGGAGAGGGGGGGGGGGAGGGGGGATGAGGAGGAGGATGGAGGGCGGGAGGGGAGGAGGAGAGGGATGGGAGGAGGGGAAGAGGAGGAGGAGGAGGAGGAGGAGGACAGGCCAGGTTCGCCTGCGTCATATCTGAAGTCTACCCCACCCTCCCAACCCTTACCATGGCGTAGATCTCCTCTCTATTCGCACAGTCGGATATCAAGCAGGGCAATGATCCCGAGAGGGTGCGCGATGCATCGTAGAGCACGTCATAGCATGGCGTAGCGTTGCGTAGTGAAACTTTGCATCACAAAACATTGCAACGCACATAATGGCATCGCACAGCGAGACACAACAGAACATGGCATAGCATGGCGTTGAAAGTCAAAGCGTAGCATGGCATGGCACTGCATACCCTAGCATTGCAACTGAAGGCATGGCATCGCACAGAGGAGCATCACATAGCCCTGCATTGAATGCCGTGGCATAGCACTGCAAACAATGACGCCAGCGCTGAAGCGGGAGCACGATTCGGAACGAGCGGAAGCGCGTAAATGAGGCCAGCGCTGCAGCGGGAGCACGACTCGGAACGAGCGGAAGCGCGGAAATGAGGCCAGTGCTGCAGCGGGAGCACGATTCGGAACGCGGAACGAGCGGAAAACCGGAAATGACGCCACTGCTTCAGCGGGCCAGGAGCAACATTTTGAAACAACACCCATGCGAAGACCAAGCTCCTGGGAATTGTGTGGGAGAAACAGCACGTGGATGGGGGACCGAACATCTTCCAGGCGTCATCCGTGGAGAGAGGAGGGTAGCATTCATATGGTGTAAGTGTGGAGGAGGAAGGTACGGAGGGTGGGAGGGAGGAAGGGAGAGGGAGAGCGAGGAGGAGGAGGAGGAGGAGGTGGGAGGATGAGGGATGACTTCGTTTAGGACGTGGTTGTCTCAGACGGCCCCCGGGGGTTACCCGCGGGGCTGGGCGATGCCCCGGTGCGAAGTAACACCGCCCTCCGAGAAGGAGGAAGAGGAGAAGGAGGAGGAGGAGGAGACGGAGGAGGAGGAAGAAGAGGAAGGCCATAGAGCAGGAGGGGGGCCAAGGTCTGAGGCAACGCCAGGGAGGGAGATGGGCTCAGGTTTGGGGTTCGTGGTGCTCGCACGTTCTCGTTGGTTCTCCGCGGTTTCCCAGTCGCGGGCTGCCTTCCACCAGCTGCGCCTCGCCGAGGCTGCTCCTTGGGCGTGCCGGGGTCGTCCGTAACTCAGGAGGGGAAACAACACACAGACACAATTAATCGTCGACTCCCAGGAAAAATATAAGAAAATATGGGAGGTGGGGGGAAGACAAAAACCCGGAAAATATGGGAAAATATGGGGAATCCTTTTATTTGTGTGTATTTATTTGTGTGTCCTGGGGCCCCTTCAGTAACGCCCGCCGGAGACCAGATGACTGTGCCCCGAAAGCCAAGAAGCAACGTCAGGACCGGAGGCGACGACAGGGGCGAATAGCCCGGGGGGAGCACTAATTACGTGCAGCCAGGGGCGCCGATGGCACATGCCTTCGTTGAGGCTCCCGGGCGAGTGCGTGCAGCGCCCGCCCCTCGGCTAGTCGCCCCTATCGTCGCCCCCGACACTATTCGCCCCTATCGTCGCCCCCGACAGGAGCGGATGGGCACACTAGGGGGTGGGGGCGCATCGACGCCCAAGCGCCGACTCCTCGCCGACAGGGGCGCGATCGCCCGCCCCCGCCCGGGGGGGGCGTGCTTCACGGATGCTTGCGATGCGGCTGATGTAAATCGTTGCAACTCATGTTATATGTTGTTCATCTTGAGATATAAGTGGTGCAAAGCAACTTATAACTGCCATACTACGTTGTTTATATGATATATCTTTCCCGAACGATACATTGCAATGTATCGCGATGCAGGCGTTATAAAGGCTCTTGCGCCCAATTAACTTCGCACCACCCAAACAGTTACAACATGATATAACTACGTTATATCGTTTGCGCAGGTTTGCATCGTACGCAGCGCAACGATACGACGGGTTACGAAACGATAAGAAAAGATACGAAACGATACGAAACGGTTCGGAAGCTCGCTCCGAAAGCATACGTCGACGAAAAAGTTCGGAGGTTCGCCCCGAGTATCGATGGATAAACATGAGGCGGTGCGGAGCTTGGGCGGCGAGCCAAAACTGTAACTGTTTGGGTGGTTCTGTTTTCGTTTTTAAATGAGGTGCGAGGAGGGTGGTAAGATGTTCCAAACTTGGAACTGAAAGGGGGTCTGAATTGCCGCCAGGCAAGTCCGCTAGTGTTCCAAGTGGGGTCGTCAACGTTGTTGCTGCCGCTCGCCGCCCCGATGCCCCCCCCCGTCGTTGTCCTCGGCCCAAGGCTGTCCTTTGACCCCTCCCGTCTCCACCCTCCACCCCCATCCCTCCTCATCGTCCGTTGACCCATATACCTGCTCCGCCTTATCCTCCTCGTTCTCCTCCTCCCATTCTTCCTTCTCCTCTTCCTCTCCCCCCCTCATCCTCCTCCATTTTCCCCCCTCCTCCTCCACGTCGTCCTGCTCTCCTCATCCTGTCCCCCCTCTTCCCCATCCCCGTCTTCGTCCTCTTCCTCCGCAGCAATTTCTTCCTTTGTCCTCGCGTTCCGTTCCCTCTTCCTCTTTCGCCTCCTCCTCCTCCTCCGCAGCCCCCCCCCCCCTCCCCCCCGCCCACCATCGCCCCGCTGCTCAGCTGGAACTCCAGATCGGCAGGCACGGGGCCCCGTCGGGCCGTCCCAGGCACGGACATGAGGGGAGGAAAAGGAATTCTAGACGCTTCGCGGCGTATCCCCACGCGTTACCACGCCCTCTTGAATTTTTCATTGCGGGCCGCAGATCAAAAAAAAATCCCCACGAGCCCATCCAGAAACGATGTCCAGGCGAGTTGAGGTGATCAGGGAAGTGCGGCAACAAAGAGGAGGACGGCCGAACCGTGCAAAGGAGTGAGCAGGAGAAGGAGGAGGTGGATGGATGGATGGATGAGGGAGTGGGAAGAAGGAGGATGAATAGGATGAGGAGGAGGCGGAGGAGGAGGACGAGGAGGAGGAGGAATAATAGAAAGAGTAGGAGCAGGAAGGAGGAACAGGAGGAGGAGGAGGGCAAGCACATAAAAAAAAAAAAATGAGATGCAAAGGGGCCAGAGGTCTCATGGATGCCTCTCGGAGCTCTAGGGGTATCTCTTGGGCGATTCTTGGGGCCCCTCAGTTGGGACCGTCTTGGGGGTCTCTTGGCGATCCTGGGGGGCTCTTCGGTGTCGTGGGTGCCTCGGGGTGGGGGCCTCTTGGGGCCGCTTAGGGTCTTCTTGAGGGGCCTCCTGGGGGCATCTTGGGAGCCTCGTTGGGCCATCTTGGGGCCTCCTGGGCGCTTGTTGGGGCCATCTTGGGGAGGGGGGGGGGTCGGTCAACGAAGGGGGGTCCCTCAACTAAAGCCCCCCCCCCCCCTGGAAGGCCACATGGGGCCAAAACCTTCGTAAAAAATCAATGAATTTCGTTTCCTCGCCGAGGCCGTTTTGGGCGCTCTAACTAACCCGCGCCCCCCCCCGCCCCGCCCAGGTCCATAGGGAGGGGGAGGGGTAAACCCCTCCCCGATGGGGAAGAGTTGAGTAGTGGTCTGCCATAGCGCCACGTCCCCGAAAACCCACCCGACTACAGAGGCGGTGGATTTAGAGGGAGGCGGGTGGTGGACAAAGGGAAAAGGAAACATGGAAAGGCGTAGGAGGATGAACCAGAAGAGGATAAGGAGGCGGAGCAGGAAAACATACGAGGACGAGGATGGAGAGGAGGGAGGAGGAGATGAACGATGATGAAGCTGATCGGCGCAGACACGAGGGGGGGGAGGAGGAGGGGCAGTAGAGAAGGACCCAGTGGAGGAGATGGGGGAGGGAGAGGAGGACAATAAGGAGGAGAGGGAGGAGGAAGCGGTGGCTGCGGAGGACTCGGCGGTTGGGGGAACCGCTCAGGGGCAATGCCAGGGACCGACATTACACAGTTGGGGGACCGAAGGGAGGTGTATGGGGGCACGGGGTGGAGACGGGCGTCGGTTGGATGACGCTTTCGCCTGGGATGTTCAA